CCTTTCCTCCTCCTCACCTCCTCACCTTTTAACCTTTCCTCCTCTTCACCTCCTCCTCACCTCCTCCTCACCTTGTTACCTTTCCTCCTCTTCACCTCTTCACCTCCTCACCTCCTCACCTTGTTACCTTTCCTCCTCTTCAACTCCTCCTAACCTTGTTACCTTTCCTCCTCCTCACCTCCTCACCTTTAAACCTTTCCTCCTCACCTTGTTACCTTTCCTCCTCCTCACCTCCTCACCTTTAAACCTTTCCTCCTCACCTTGTTACCTTTCCTCCTCCTCACCTCCTCCTCATGTCCTCTCCTTTTTACCTTTTATTCTCCTCACGTCCTTCTCCTCACCTCCTCACCTTTTTAAATTGACTCCTCCTCGCATCACCTCCTCCTTACTTTACCTCCTAACAATCACTTCTTCACCTCACCTTCTCGTTAGCTCCTTTAAGTCACCTCCCAACCTCACCGCCTCATGTACCTTCCTCTGTGCTGCTCTCACCTTCTGGTCTCACCTCCTCCTCACTTCACCTCCTGACCTTAACTAATGACTCCTCACCTCCTTACTTCCTTACCTCACCTCCTTTTCACTCATCTTGCCCCGTTTTCTTCTCTCCTCCACTTGTTTCCTTTCCTTGTCTCCCCTCTTAGTCTCCCCTCCTAGCTTCCTCTCTTTGCCTCCTCTCATGGTTTCCTCTCCTACCTTCCTTCTCATTTTTTCTCTCCTAGACGCTTCTCCTAGTCTCCTCTCCTTGTCTCCTTTCCTAGTATCCTCTCCTTGTCTCCTTTCCTCTTTGATGCTCTGTAACCTGACACCTCTGCTGCTGCGTCATGTGACCTGGACGACCTTTGTAAATGGAGCGTTGTAGCCCCGCCCCCTCCTGCACACTCCCTCCTGATTGGCTGCGGCCAGAGTGACATCACTTCCTTCCCAGAATGCCCTGCGGTCCTAGGCGGTTTGTGAAACGGTTCTTCTGTTTTATCTGTTGCAGACACATGAAGATTCACGAGAAGGACCCGGCGAGCGGCCTGCTGCCCGTCAGCCCGCCGTCACCGACCAAACGCCGTCGCCCGTCGGTGAAGAGGAGGCCGGGCCCCGAGGAGGAGTCGGGCGAGGAGCCGCCCAGCAAGAAGGTAAGAGGAGGCGCCAGGTTAGCGGCGGTGGTGGCTGGTTAGCGGCGGCTGACGGATGCTAACGTTTTGCCGGTGCGTTCAGGTGGTGGAGGACGCGGCGGGCGAGGAGGCGGCGGCAGTCCGCGGGTCGGAGGAGGAGCTGCTGCCGTGTCCAATCTGCTTCAAGACCTGCAGCTCCAGACTGGATCTGGACGCTCACATGGACGCCCACCCCGACACGGCGCTCAGGTACGACCTCGGCCGCTGCACTCCCACAATCCCCTGCTGCAGTGGGAAGTAACTGAGTACTTTTACTCTGTTACTTTCTGCTGCTCTAAGCTCAACACGTGTCCACCGTGTGTTTACTTCCTGGTTACCTCCTGGTTCAGCAGTACAGAGGAGGGTCAGCTGACGGGGGAGGGAGGGGGAGGAGGGAGAAGGGGGGGGTGGTAATGAGTGACCTGAGGGCGATCGAGGCTCAGAGAGAGAGAGAGGAGTTAATAAGTGAGCGAGGAGGAGGATTTAGGACTCACTCCATTGGGCCCCGTCACCATGACGACGACCCCTCCCGCCCCT